TGTACCAGTGTACATCCTCTTGTCTAGTCATATTTGTAAGGTAGAATTGGGATCATGATAGTGGGGGTGGAGGAAGCATTTAGGAACTAGAGGAGAGTTGTATGTGACTCTTTATCACAATCCATAATAGTAATCTTGTACTGACATTACTACTTGATTTTTCACTGTTAGGTATTTTTAATTGAACTCTCACTATGGAAGATTAGTAGCTAGTATGTTCATCTTTCCCTGCCTACCATATACCTGGGCATTTTAGGTTTTTCACCCTCCATATGATTATGCATATATTAAGGTATTTAGAGCCATAGTAATAATTGTACTACTATTTTTCTGTACACGCTATTCCTGACTAACCATGTAGTAGGTTAACTCTTGAGTTTCTAATTTTTCTTACTTAATTTTCTATTTATGGATGCTAGCTTTCTCAAACATTGCCTCATTTGTCAAAATTGTATGTTCAGGTGTTAAAAAGCATTAGTATTCTATGAATGTTTTTTGGCCCTCTCCTGGAGGTCCCCTCCCCCCCTTTTAAATTGTAGTAAAATCCACCATTTTGAAGTGTACAATTTAGTGACATTTATTATGTTCACAGTGTTGTGCAATCACTACCCCTGTTTAGTTTCAAAGCATGTTCATCACCTCAAAGGAAACGTCTACACCTATTAAGCAGCCCCATTCCACATTCCTTCTTCCTCCAGTCCCTTAACAACCAGTGATCAGCTTTCCATCTCTGTGGATTTACTTACCATATATATTTCCTAGATGGAATCTTATTATATGTGACGTTTTCATGCTGGGTTTCTTTCACTTAGCACATTTTTGAGACTCATCCAAATAATAGCATGTATCAATACTTCATTCTTTTGTTTAATTCTGTAGTGTTCCAGTGTATGGATATGTTACATTCTGTTTATTCATTTGTCATTTGATAGACATTTCAGATAGACATTTTGGCTTTTGTGGATGCTGTAATGAACATTGGTATATGAGTGTTTCCCAATACTCGCTGTGAATTCTTTTGGGTACATACCTAGGCGTGGAATTGTTGGGCCCCATATAGCTCCATGTTTACTTTTGTGAGGAACTGCCAAACTTTTCCAGGACAGCTGCACCTTTTTTCCCAGGAGATGTCTGACCTGCCACGTGATCTGAAGCTGTCCTTTGTCAGCTTGCTGCATAGCCAGCCGCCCTGGCTTCCTCTGGGAAGTCTTTTTGCCTTCTTGTTGTGTTGAATTTTCCCTTTGTTAGATTTTATCGCTTCCTGTATCCTTACTAACTTGCTCTTTCAGATGGAATACTTCTAGTAGGGATTTCCCCAGGTAAGATGCAAAAGAAGTAAATTAAAAAAGAAAGAAAGAAGTAAATTTTTTTGAGAATTGGCTCATCTGAAAACACTTCTGTTCCACCATTACACTTAAACCGTTTGGCTACGTATAGAATTCTCACAGTCAATTCCAACTCACAGCAACCCTATAGAACGGGGTAGAACTGCCACAGTGGCTTTCAGAGAGTGTAACTCTTCATGGAAGCAGAAAGCCTCTTTCTCCCACGGAGCCCCTGGGGGTTTTGAACTGCTGGCAGTGAGGGTAGCAGCCCAGTGCAGAACCACTTCTTCAGGGCTGATGTAGGAGCAGGTGGTATTTTGTTCCTTTGTGCACAGGGTCACTATGAGTCAGAACTGACTCGACGGCACCTAACAACAACAACGGCATAGAATTTAATTTTTCCTGATATTCCCATTGAGAATTCCGTTTACATCCTTGATTCTGTTTTAAATTCCCCTGTGTCTGCTCAAAAATGATCAACTCTTGGCCAATCTTATTTTATCCGTCCTTCCCAGTCTGTCCCATTTTGAAGCCAATCTCATATACTGTATAATTTCATCTGTGATACTTCAGATTGTCTCTTTAACATATGAGCCCTTCAGCTATTGCTCTTATTAAGAAATTAGGAAAAATCACTCTTCTAATATGGGTTTACTCTTGTAATGAGCATTCTGGTTGGCCTTTAGGACAAAGGTCCCCATTTCCTTTCATAGTGAAGAAAGTAAGGCCTGTGACTGACTGCCAGTGGATGTATTTGTGAGGCCAACGAGTCCACACAGAAAGATAGAGGCATGAGAAGCAGAGAAACAAAAGGAGTGAGAAGGGGAAGAGATAGAAGATGTGTCCAAGGAAGGGAATGGACTTGTGGCTGCTTCTGATTGAAACAGAATGTCTTTGTAGGGATACTTCCACCAATCTCATGATAAACACATTCCTGTTTCATTTGAAGGGTAAGGTAGAAGGAGTTGAGGCCCTAGGAAAATAGAGTGAGTTAGGGAGGATGGCTGAAATCGGAGAGGGGGGAAAAATAAAACTTGGTGAAATCATAATGATTTATTTTGTACTCATCTATCATACATATTTACCAATTGGATTTTTAAAATTGCCCCAGTTATCTTTCTCTTTTCAAGGAATTCTAATTATACTTTGTGTTCAGATGTTTTCTTCAGCATTATTATATATTAATTTCTGAGTATTGGTGGATTTAGTAGGTTTCGTATACATGTCTCTAGCCTATAACTTACTAAGAGAAATTACAAAATAAAACCCCCAAACCCAAAAGGTTAACTTTTTTAAATTGCTAAATACCAAACAAATACAGAAAACTATCTTTAAAATGTACAGTTTAATGGACTATTATAAGACAAACACCTGCTAGGGCAATTTTATGTCTTTAAGCTGCCCATGAGATAAATAAGTCCATAGGCAAATGTAATGAAATAAATTAGCAAAAGGATGAAATTTTGTGAAGGACTATTTTAAATGTCAGAAAAAAACCTAAAGGAACATGAATTTCTAAGTTATGATAATTATGCAATTTTCTATAGTTAATCTTATTTTTGAATAATATTTACATATGTATTTACAAATAGTGTGAAAATGGAATCCTACAGCACCATTATTGTGTTGTGTTAATAGGTTTATTTGGATTGTGCTATGCATTCACAGGCCAGGAATACTCTAATTTTGACTTAGGATGGTACCCAGGGTGTTACTGACACAGTTTTCTGTTTGTTTTGATATCACTGTATTATTTGCCCTTTGGCTGCCCAATAGTTCAAAAGTTCAGAAATACTCTATGTTGTTTTACAGTTTATAATGGTTGTTGTTTACCATCAAAGCAATTCCAACTCATAAACACCCTATTTAACCAAATAGAATTTGGTTTCCTAAGCTATTTTCCCCATGATGTAGCCTTACTAGGGAAGTTAACACGTTGCAATTCAGGGTCAGAAATGCATAGGGTACAGTTCTTTGGTCAGGAAAGCCTCTCCTCAGTCTACCCACAAGCATGCTTCACCCTCTCAGCTTCATGGCCCCTTGGCCTCTACCCAGTCCGGACAGGTGACTTTCTGCTGCTCTGCCACTCCTCTGGGGTCCTGCTTCTTTGGCCCCTGGGTTGAGGAGGTTCAGTGTAGTGATCATGGGGGAACCAAAGGACACACTCTTCTCCTAGTTCCTCTCGCCTGGAGTACTGAGATCCTTTCGATGCTGTAGTCTGTACAGGAGTAGGTTGTCGTTTTTTTCTCCCATAGAGTGGCTGGTGGTTTTGAACCCCCAACATCTTGGTTAGTAGTCAAGCCCTTGCCAGTTGTGTCATGGGAGATAATTTAATGTATGACTAGCTATGTCTAAAACCAAAAAGAGCAATAACTAAACCCTAGTTATGCAGGTTGTTGTTCAATACGCTCACATTAGAATTACTAAGTAGTAGACTTACCAGTTGCTAGGCTTTCTCACTAAGTTCAAAATTGTTTGCTATATGATCACTAATTCGTTTAGAGAGAGAGCAAGAGAGAGAGACTTTGATTGCATCATTTAAAATTGAAAAACTGAAGACAGATCTCAACTGTTAATTCAAGAAGTACTCTTGAGTGACAAGCATGCTTTCAAGCAGCAGAGAATAAATTACTATGTATTTTCAAGGCTGAAATAGGGCACTGAAAACATCGTGCTCTTTGTTTTCAGTGATGAAAACTTCTCAAGTATAGTCTGCAGGTTCCTTTTTTGTCCCTTTTCTTTCTTACCATGCTCTGATTCACCCTGTTTCCTGAGGAGCGAGATGTAGTACATTTTTACGACAAGCACGTGCTTCTTGAAGAAATCAAAAGCTTTGTTACTAAATCAGAGCTGTGCATGATTCATTTCTTAGTGAGTGCTTGGACGGGGGTGGTGGGGCGGGGTGTGTCCTTTCTTCTGTTTCAGAAAATACACTTGGGATGTATTTGCTGCTTTCGCTTTCACCCATTTAATGCCCTCCGTCTAATTTTTGCTTCTAGGAGCTCCAATTAGAACATGCAAGACAAGCCTTTGCGGTAAAAGATAAGAACAAAAGTGGCATGATTTCCGGACTGGATTTCAGTGACATCATGGTGACCATCCGGTCTCACATGCTTACGCCTTTTGTGGAGGAGAACTTAGTTTCAGTAAGTAGAAAGCAAGTGATTTTAAATGCTTTCCATGGACAGAGTGTGGTCCAGGCTCATTTGCACCTTTCTAGGTTTTAAGCTCCTTTTATGAGCAGTTCTGGCTTGTGTGATTTATTGTGAAACCGCTGATATAGAAAATGGAAATTTATGTTGCCGACCTGCTGGTCCATGGGGAGCTGTATTTCATGTAAAGATCCTGAATGTATGAATGCGGGGGGATAAAAGGCACGTTGAAGGTCGTATGATCAGTGGTGGTGTGTGGGCATGCCCGCCGGGGCCTGCTGCTCTTCCTGCCCCTTCACCCATGCATCCGTCTGCAGGATTCCAGACACAGGTGGGGTTTGTTTTTTGTGGTTAGGGGGTCCCCATCAAACTGCTTATCTCAGTAACGTGATCACGTGGACCAGTGCAAACCGCTGTCATCCACCGAAGGAAGATAGGCTCCTAGGATCTGAGTTGTCAGCTCCAGGAACTGCTGCCTCAGCACAAGATTGATTCATGGGACTTGCTCACCGAGTAGAGTCTGAGTGGTGATGCTCACTTCTCAACCCTTTGGAATCCTCCGGCCGGAGTTGCTGCCGGGACCCATCTGGCTTCCAGCTCGTCTCACCTTAATGCTGCATAGGTAAAGCACGGGTGGTGGGCTTGATCATGTGTGGTCTTGCCCAGGCCCCAGCTTCATTCCGAGCCATCATCTTGCTCTTAGAAGATTTCCAAATTGTTTACTCCCATCTACAGAACCCGATTCAAGAGAAAAGGAGTTTGGAGGCAGGGGTGGGCCGATACTGTTCCCACTGGGCAGCACCTCTCGCAGACACGGCTGTCTTCACGGGCTCCCCAGGCCTTGCCACCAGGATGGCCCTTTCCTTTCTGGCTTGCAGGGCCCTGGCTGCCATAGGGATCCTCGCGGGCCTCTGTCCTGCTTTAATAACCGTGGCCGAGGCAGAAGGAATGGCGGAAATACATAAATACACGGCCTCTTCCTCTCCCTACCCCTTCGCCTGTGCATGTCGTCTGCTTTTTGTTCTGGGAAACTGCAAATCTCTACAAAACAATGTCCGCGCCACGAGCAGACGGCCGTCATCCACGTCCTTTCAAAGAGGGTGGAACTCGCTCGCTTATCGTTTGGTTGCGCATGTGCAGCACCGATGTGTGACTTTTTTGATGGCTGCTTGTTTTAAGTGGAGGCAAGCCAATGAGCACGTCTGCTGTTTCAGCTGAAGATCATTATCCCCGATTTAGACCCGGGTAGAAAGATCAACTGCTGTTCTTTCTCTTCGGTGAATTTGAGCATGGGGCATGTCACTTTCTCCTAGACATTTCACCTCTTTGACACCCATTCCCCACCCCCTACCCTCACCTCATGCTCCAATGGAAAAAACCGAAAGAAGAAAGGAGACTAAAAGGGAGAGGGGGGAAGAAGGAACGAAAATCCTAGAGGAATTTTGAGTGTCTTGGAGGGAGGGGACCCTGCCATCCACAGCTCCAATGGGCCCACAGTCCTTTCCCGTCCCCTCCAGTCCCTGCTGGAGGGTCACTGGTGTTCAAATTCAGGTCAAGACCAATTTTATTTGTATTTGAGCGAGGGCACACTGGGGCCTGTGTGTGTGTGTGGTGGGGTTGCTACATTTGCTCACCATTACCTGTAATATTCTTTAATAGGCCTTTCTGATTAAGGTTGTCACATTGGTATTTCCACAAGCATTTCTTTTGCTTTTTCATAGCAATTGTTTTCAAGCATATGGATTCTTCTTACGCCTGCCTTGGAAATTAGGTTTTTATAAACGATGAAAATACTCTTTTGAGTTTATGCCCAAGTGGCAGGCAGGGGGAGAAATGATCTACTCACCTAGTAGAAATAATGAGGGCCAGACTCCCCCTTACTCCTGAGAGAGTGTCTTTTGCTCTGTTCCCTAACTTCAGGTGAATACACCCTCCGGGGGTGGCTCTCGGCATTCTGCGTTGCTTGGTAGCCATATCCTTCATGATATGGATGCAGTGAGCTTTAAAACAATAGCAAAATTTAATAGTGAAGTACTGTTAAAATTTAAATTTACTTCTTACAGTTTGTTTTTGTTCTGCGGAGAAAAACAAGTTTATCAAATGCTTTTTATGTTGGTTATATGGATGCCTGTCTCATATAGGACTAGCAGGAATTCCATCGTTAAGGGTCATAAAAACATGCTCAAGTAACCATAGGTTTTGATCTGTGATAATTACATTTGTTGTTTCTGACCTTATAGGTAGATGAACCTTGAAGTCCAACTTCCAGATGTTGCTTTCTTCCTTAAACCTTAAATTACATAGGCTTCTCTTTGGGTATGAAATGCCCCGAGTGTTTCAGCAGGACGCTGTTAATCATTGTCATAACGAAGATGCCTTTGAGTCATTTTGAGAAAAGTGCTATGTTCGTCAGTATGGCTGGGTCTGGCTGTTTAACTTTCTTTGTGGTATCATTTCCTAGGCTGCTGGAGGAAGTATCTCACACCAGGTTAGCTTCTCCTACTTCAATGCGTTTAACTCCTTACTGAATAACATGGAGCTCGTTCGTAAGATATATAGCACTCTAGCTGGCTCAAGGAAAGATGTGGAAGTCACAAAAGGTAAGCTTCTAAAACATAATCTTCATTGGTTTGATGCTCCGCGTTTCGCTCGTCTTCGGCTGGTGCCTGGGATTGGTCTCAGTTTGCCCCTCTAAATAAAACGAGGTCTGGAGAATAGAACACCTTGTTATATGCTTCACCTGGGCCAGAAGGGCCTCCAGAGATCAGATGGATTTGATGGGATGCTGAGGTCATGAATAAAACATTGACTTTGACGGTTTGGAAATAACCTTGCCCAAAGTGTCAAACAGGCCAGTAGCGCTGTGGAAGCAACTTGTTTGTCCTGGGAAGGAATTGCCACAGAAGGATGAGCAAGCCTCCTCCTCTCAGAGAATTGTAGAAGGAAGACTTCAGGGACTGGGAATAGCCAATTCTTTCACCTTGTAACTCCGGAGATCAAAGTGAACTAACGAGATACAAGCAGGCCTCTGAAGAGAGAGTTTATCTTAGAATTTATTGTTCTCCTTTTACTGTTTCATCATCTTAACATTTTATCTTTTGCCAGCTTTTTAGAAATGAGTAGTTATCTTGATGTAGTTGAAGTTCAGCTTTTAAATTCCATTCCAGATTTAAAAAATAATACTAAGACACTTAGCCTTCAGATTGTATTTGGGTTGGCTGGAACTTTGTTGTATTTCAAGACTTTCAAAAGATTTTTACAATTCTGTCTCCTTCTATTCCAGAGGAATTTGCCCAGAATGCGATACGCTATGGACAAGTCACGCCACTGGAAATTGACATCCTCTACCAGCTCGCAGACTTATATAATGCTACAGGGTAACTATTACAGTAATTCCTCAGGATATATATATATATAAAAAATATATGTATATATATATTTATAGGGCAGTCCTTTTAAATTATGAAATAGTGGAATAGTTTCAGTTCATTTCAACATTAGTTTATTCCATTTATCAGAATTCAGGGAATTCAGATGGGAGGGAGAAGGGGAGAGAAGAAGAGAGAGAGAGAAGGAAGAAAAGGCAGAGAAAAGAAAGTCCAGGGGGGAAAGGGAGGGAAAGGACAGAAGGTTAGAGGTGAGACAAGAAAGTCAGAGGGAGGCAGGATGAGAGGAAGAAATGAGGGGGAGGAAGAAAAATGAGAGAAGAAGGACTTGCAGGAGAAGCAGCAGCCATAGCGGGAGGGAAAGGATTGGTTGAATTTGAGTTCTCTAGAAGTATTATGCATTTCAAGAGATTTGTAGAAATTTGCCTAAATTTATAGGGCTGAGCTACATGTTCGGGGCTCTTGTAATCATTTTGGTGTGTGATAAGCAGTGATTTAACTAAACAGTGTGTACCATTTTGTGTTGGAGAATCTCATTTTCTTGAGATACGCCTCTGACATCATCATCACAGTTACCATCACAGACTTTTTTATGCTTCTAGTCTATGGATGAAAGAAACCAAAGCACACACTGGATGTATAATTTGTAGTGTCTCATAGGCAAATCCCAAAGAAACACCTCTACCTGTGAGCGTCCCGCAAAACCTGTGGGATCTCTTAAAGGATCAGAATCTTTTTAGTTGCAACAAGTCGTTTTTCAGTGTAAGGATCTCAAAAGTTGACTGTGCGTGGGTGATCCAATGCTTTCATGGTCCATGACAGATGATTGGACTGGAGATGATACTGAATCTACCAGCCAGCCTTCGATGGTTGACATGAAATATCTGGCCATGTCTCATCTAAGACTCACATTTTCAGACAAAGGTTTTAAGCTACCTTTATGATAATAAATGCTTTGAAAAAGCCTTCCTCAAAATCTGACCTGAAACGACTTTCTGGCTTGTTCATGGGATGTATTTATTTTTAAGTAAATTTTTGGGAAAAAGTAATTCACAGCCCAAAGGGTTTAAGAGCCTATCCTGTATAAAAGGTCTGTGACCTCTTCCGCCCTTCTAGAGGTGGCAGCAGCCAGCAGTTTGTGTGGGCGCTTTATGCCTGTGACATTACAGACATTTGCTTCAGGGAGTCCTTTAGTAGGCATGGACAATCATCACCTGTATTTTGGGCAAGAGCTATTTCTTCACTTTTAACATCTACCACTGGATTCTTATTAAATGTGTTCACGCCACATTATTTTTCTAGTCCTTTGCAGCCAGCAAGGTCTAAATGATCTTGTTTCTCCCCCAGCTTTTCTCATGGATATGATCTTTAGGAATTGGGAAATAATACTTTTAAACCGTAGCTCTGTCTTTATGATTCTTGAAGAAAGCTGGTTCAAGGAGTTGTTGATGTCTAACAATGCACTTCTTCCTCTATTTTTGCCTGAAGGCGTTTGACTTTGGCGGATATTGAAAGAATAGCCCCGCTGGCCGAGGGTGCCCTCCCTTACAACCTGGCAGAACTTCAGAGGCAGGTAGGAGGACGCATCAATAGCATCACCTTAAAAATGCATGACTGCCTAGACCGTCTGACTACTCTGGAAAAATGACGTTCTACACAAAGATTTGACTTAGCTCAAGTATTTCTGTGGGGCACCTTGATTCATGTTTGCCATGTTTTCTTTTTGCTTTTTTATGAGAATGATAGTTAGCGTCCCACACCAAACTCACGCAATGCTGACTCCCAGCGACCCCTGTGGGTTTCCGAGAGTATAACTGTTTACGGGAGTGGAAAGCCCGGTCTTCTGGCTAGACCAGAGGATGTGCACTGGTACAGACAGGAACTGGAAACACAGGGAATCCAGGGCGGATGATCCCTTCAGGACCAGTGGTGAGAGTGGCGATACAGGGAGGGAAGAGGGAGAGTGGGTTGGAAAGAGGGAACCGATTACAAGGATCTACATATGGCCTCCTCCCTAGGGGACAGACAACAGAAAAGTGGGTGAAGGGAGACGTCGGACAGGGCAAGATATGACAAAATAACAATTTATAAATTATCAAGGGCTCATAAGGGAGGTGGGAGAGGGGAGGGAGGGGAAAAATGAGGAGCTGATACCAAGGGCTCAAGTAGAAAGCAAATGTTTTGAGAATGATGAGGGCAATGAATGTACAAATGTGCTTTACACAATTGATGTATGTATGGATTGTGACAAGAGTTGTATGAGCCCCTAATAAAATGATTTTTAAAAAAAGAAAGCCCAGTCTTCCCCGCAGAACTGCTGGTGGTTACAGACTGACAACCAGGAGGCTCGCAGCCCAACACGTAACCGCTATACCACCAGGGCTGCCCAGTGAGAGTACAAACATACCTGTTTTCTTTCTTCTTCTTCCTTTTAAAAATCATCTTATTGGGGGTTCTTACAGATATGAGAACAGTCCATAAATCAATTATATCAAGCAAACTCATGCATATGTTGTCATCATCATTTTCGAAATATTAGCTTTCTGCTCAAGTGCTTACTATCGCCTCCTCTTTTAACACACATATTTTCCATGTATTTTTTCCCCTGTAAGTTACCACGCACACCTGAGAAAATAAAACTCTGTAGAATTCGAATGTGTTTTCTAGAATCTCACAGATAGAGATTGATGAGGGTTCTTTAAAAAGGATTTAAACTAATAGCTCTTGTTTCTTCCATTGCAAAGTCGGGCCGTTTAATTGTCCGTGGGTTCTGATCTACGTCTCTTTGAGTGAGAACCTTTCCTCAAAATGTCGAAATCTCTTTCAAACTTTATTTTCAAATTTCGATTCTTAATCCTGTTTTCCTTTTGTAACATGTATACATTTCCATTTACAGCATCTAGAGCTTTGTCAGGAATACAGGCCAGTGATATGAAGATAGGTTTTAAGTTCTTACTCTACCCAAAATAGTTGGATAACTTTCTGTAATTTTCGGCCCTGACAAACTTTCTCCAGGTAACGTGTTTTAGGATTGTGGAGCATTTTAAAGCAGCTATGTAGACAACAATTTTGTGAATCAGATTTTCAAATATTTCCATCTATGGAATTCCAGTCACATTAAACGCAGCTCTTCTATTTTGGCTTTCAGAAGATGTTTGTATTTGATTCTCTTAACATCTTTTCCAGATTGCTGCTTTTTCTCCCGTAGCCCTGTCTTCTGTCTGCTGGGTTCTATAATTCATTGCAAGGGCCATACAGACCTCAGAGAATGCTCACAATTACGGGGTTCATGAGGAAGGTAACAGGTTACAGTGCAGGTGAGAAATGCGCAGGACACAGTTTTCAGTCAGGGCACTTTCTTCTCTGTTATGCCTGCAGGTAGGCCCCTCTGACCCTTTGCCTCTTGGCCTGGCCCTGGCCATGGCCCTGCTTGAGCAATGTTACAAAGCTCTTTGGGGCTGCTAATAAATGCCTAAAGGTCATGCCTCTTCACTATGAACCTCAGGCCCAGGCACCCAGCTCCTCCAATTGTTTCCAGAGGCACCCCACTTCACCAGCCGGCCTCCTGCCCCAAGCCCTCCATTGTAACTTGCTCTGTGGGCTGGGAAGTCCCCCTGCCTCCAGGTTCTGCGGTTGCTGCTCCTCTGGTGTCATAGCTGCCCCCCGGATCATGGAGGTTCAGTATGCAGAGATCTCAGGGGCCAAAGGGTGTGCCCCGCCCGTGGCTCTTCTCTTTCTGGCAGCAGGATTCCCACTTTGCTGCTTCTGAGAGGGTTCATTGTACCCCCCCATAGGCTAACAGTCGCAGCGAAGCTGGTTAGCAATCACCACGAAATCTTGTCAGTCAGCGTCTTTCCCTCCTTCTCTTAGCCAGACCCATGAGGGAAGGGTCATTCGGTGGGAGTGACTGAGATTATAGCTAGAAAATACACCTTAAATAATTCACTACACTGCAATTCCCAAACTAGGCAAACATAATTAGTTCCCATTAATCTTTAGAGTATTTTCCTGAAGGAATCTGCTGGAAACTTAACTATAAAGTAGGAAGAGAAGCATGTCTTCATGATTGCAATACTAGTTGTTTCAGCCCCCGAAGGTCACGACGGACACACTTGTGCATTGGTAGGGAACTTCCAAGTGCAGAAATAGAAGAGACGTTATGAGAGAGGCAGTGGTTAAGAGGCCAGGGCTCTGATGACATAGTGTTTTTTTCAGTCTCCATTTTCCTCATTTAGTAAATGTGAATAGGAGTATCCATCTCATAGGGTTATTGTGAGACTTAACACTTAAGATAATGCATTTGCATTAGGCCTGCTATCTACTAAGCAGGGAGTAAATATTAACAATTATTGTTGTGGCCTTTACTGTTAGTGAACATTAGAAGCCTATCTGAGAAAACCCCAAGATGGCATCAAACATATATGTGGCCCAAAGGAGGGAAGAGATATATTTTTGCTTTTTCTTCTGTGTTTCCCTGACATGTTTTACTTTTTTATTTTTTGCACTCTACCAACTCACTAACATCAATTCTGACAGATAGCAGCCCTACAGGACAGGGTAGAACTGCCCCTGTGGGTTTCTGAGACTGTACCTCTTTATGGGAGTAGAAAGCGTCATCTTTTTCCTACTGAGCGGCTAATGGTTTCAAACTGCTGACCTTTTGGTTAGAAGCCCAACATGTAACCACTATGCCACCAGAGTCCCTATAAAACTCTACCAGTTGAGCTGATACCAAGGGCTCAAATAGAAAGTAAATGTTTAGAAAATAATGATGGCAGCATATGTACAAATATGCTTGATACAATTGATGTATGGATTGTTATAAGAGCTGTAAGAGCCCCTAATAAAATGATCCTAAAAACCAAAAAACAAAACTCTCCCAGTTAAATAATAATAAGGGTGTCGACCCTGCTCACTGTACCACACTGTCAAGCCCAGGGCTGAGATCACAGAAAAAGACAAGACCTGCACACAGGCATTGGCTGGAACATTGTAATCACACAGAGAAGGAGCAGAGCAAGGTCAGCTTCAATAGCAGGTAGAGGTCCGCTGTGGTCAGGGAGTCACTTCCTGCAGCCAACCCAGGACTGATGGGCTGCAGGCACCCTTCGTTAGTGCTGCAGCCCAGGGACTTCATTTCCTCCTGCTGGGAACAGATACAGAGTTGGGCTGACCAGGTGCCCTGGATCCGACTCATTTAGCTAAGCAGTTCCTGGGAATGCTGGCGTGTGCTCTGGGCCAGAGGGGGGAGGTGAGCCTGTAGGCCGCCCGCTGCTGTGGGATGTGTTGGGTCAAGTCTCCTCTAGGGAGTCAGCTCACACTCGTCCTCCCATCCAAGAAGCCAGACTGAAGTATCTGGTCCTAAGCACAAGGTTCATTGGTGGGGCACAGGAAAAGGTAGCAGATTTCACTAGGACTGCCCCCTTCCAAATATGGATATCCAGAGAGATAGCAAATCACTGAAAACAATTTTGTTTATTCTCCTTTCTCGTGGACCTTCTTTGAACTATGGATTCAGGACTGCACAGAGAAGGCATTCCTGTCTACTTGTTGTTGCTGGTAGGTAACACCACACTAAGTTTTTTGGGAACTTTTGACTTCTGCCTGTCACCTCTGATGGAAGCTTGCTGGCACAGTGAACCTGTGGGGCTGCAAACTGCATGGTCAGCATTTCAAATGCAGCAGGTGCTGTGGAAGAAAGACGGAGCGTTCTGTTCCCACAAAGAAAGCCTGGGAGACCAAAAGAACAGTTCTCTACCCCACTGGGTCTCTGTGAGGCAGAGTGGGCTTGACAGTAGTGGGTTTGGTCACCTGTGATCGTTTTACCGTAGATGGAAATCTGTTTTTGAAAGAAGGAAATTGGGTTGCTATATTAGCAATCACTTCCACACTGATGATATTGAATGAAAAAGTCCAATCTGCACTGAAGGTTTGAAGAAAGACCAATCGAGATGTTTCATCTAGCCGAGGAAGCACTTGAAGCACTCACGATTCTATACTAAGAAATTTGGAAGAGATTCATGTTCGTGCCCTTTACAATGAAAAGTGACCCGACAGAACGTAAAAATTATTGAACGATATTATTAATCTCACATGTAAATGAAATGTTGCTAAAGATAATGTAGACACGGTTGCAGCAGTACACTGAATTCAGGAATTCAAAAGAGGACACAGAAGGAGGAATAGTATTGCTGACATCAGATGGATCTTGGCTGAAAGCAGAGAAGATCAGAAAGGTTTTTACTTGTGTTTTATTGGCTATGCAAAGGCATTTATCTGACTGTGTGAGTTTAACAAACTGTGAATAACATAGAGAAGAATGGAAATTCCAGAATACTTAATTGTGTTCATGAAGAATCTGTATATAGGCCAAAAGGTGGTCACGCAGACAGAACAAGGGAATACTGCATAGTTTAAAATCAGCAGGGATTTAATTTTACTTGGATCCATAATGAGCACTCATGGAAGCAACAGTCAAGAAACACGCAGTGTATGCCACAGCACTTCTGCTGCACAAGACCTCTTTAAAGGGCTCAAGAGCAAAGATGGCACTTGGAAGACTGAGATGCACTT